AAAGGTCTGAAATTGGGTGTGACTACTGTATGCTTGGCATGGGGATGAATGCCTTGTAGAAAATTTCATCACTCCTACTTCTCAAAATCCCTCATCTTCGTCGATCACTTCATCATGGTGTGTGTTCCCTTAATACAAAGAAAAAGAGGAGATTGCAGAATTCATTATGCAGTCACCTTGGACATGACATGGAAATTACTTTTTAATAAATCAAATTGTCCAGCTCTAATGCCAATTTTGCATGACATGGCAAAATCAAAGCTACATGCTACATGTACACATGTCCAAAATAAACTTAACTTTAATTTTCCATTTCCACATCTTATTAGTTTAGACAAGAGATGACATCATGCTCTTTCAAGGTTCAATTATTCCTTTCTCTATTGAAATAACATTTTGACAAATCTAGAAATTAGCAACATTTCTAAAACATTGCTGGACACTGGGAAATTTTTCAGTTTCTCATCCCCATTTTCAAATCCCTGGACATTTGACCTCTCCAGCTGTTTGACAAACTACTCAACTTCCCTTGTATGTTTCTTTGTTACTAAAATTTTCACGCGTTCCTCCTGATTGGCCCTGAGTTCTCACAAAACACATGTTTACTTCTGAGTGTAATAAATGTGTTCTGTCCTCTATGCACTCAAAGACTCATGAATCTATAAAGAAACTTACATCGTGTGATAGTGACTTCACTATTAGTAAATATAAATGTCACCTGTGTATTGGACAAGGTGAACTTCGGAGCACAGAGAGGTTATTTCCAGCTGAGTCATGAAGAAGTGTTACTAAGCTGAGAGGCAAATATGAGTCCATAAATTTCCCGTGGAGATTTAGCAGGTTATTGCTGATGGGAACACATGAAGTCATAGAACAAAACGTACTGCTAAGAAAAGAGCAATCTGGTGGCAAAATAAGCAGAGTCAGCAGGAATCAAAATATATGAGGCCTTAAAATTACGGCTGAGATGTGCAAAGGCTTTCCTTTTAAATATATGTTCAGTAGAAGTCACTTGTTTCCAAGAGTTACATTTCAAAATAATTAACTCAGCAGCTGTTTATGGGAAAGACTGCTAAGGGATGACATGTCTTTTGAAACTAATGTAGTAAATTTATAAAGGAAAGAAACATGGTGTCTTTTATCAAAACTTACTTAGATGATACTTCAGTGATCATCTGTCTTGTTCAAACTTTCAGAAACTTGAAACTGCCAGAATTTGTCATCTAACTTTACCTAAATTCTGGATGTTTCTACCTGGATAGTTCCATGCATTTTCCTGTTAGGTATTCGCTTCTACTCTGCTTTTCCTAGTAAAGAATGCACTACAGAAACTCTGCACAATGTAGTGAATTTGAAAAGTGAATCAATTGATTCCATCTCCTTGCCTTGCCCATCCAAAGGGAACTTTCATGGTTACGTACTCTTCTAAGTCCCCTGAAAACCTTAACCGCCTCTCTATTTTTGTTCATGCTGTTTTCTGTCTAAATGGTGGTCTTTTTATTTTTTTATTTTTTATATATTTGAATTACAAACAAGATTGAATTACATGACAATCCCAGTTCCCTTCTCCCTCCCTTCCTCCCCTACCACCCCCCAACTAAAATCCTACCTATCATATGTCCTTTCTTCTAATCTACACCTGACTCAACCTTTCTGCTTCCTCATGAGCTCTGCATCCTTCCTTTTTATTTACTCAAAAATCTTCACTGAAAATATTTCCGAGTCTATGTTTCTTCCCAGACATAAGCCATTTTCCCTGTTGTTTAAAACTGAAGTTACGAGCATAGTGTCTCACTATTGAGCTTGTAGAACTAAATGCTAAATTCTCAAACTACAAGGACGTGTATACTCTGGTTTCTTCCTCCTTTTTTTTTCATTTTTTTGTATATTTGAATTACAAACAAGATTGAATTACATGACAATCCCAGTTCCCTTCTCCCCGTGTAACCTACTTTTATACCGGCCTATCTTCCAGCACTGTGTAGGTAGGTACACAGCAATTGTCAAAGGATGTTTTT